AGAGTGCCAAGGTTAGGCACCCAAGGAGGTCGACCACCCCTCCTCAAAGAGTACGTTAAGCTTTTGGTGGTCTGCCTGAAAATAACATCACTTTTCCCAAAAAAAAATCTTACAGGCGAAAATGACTATGGTGTCCCTTAACGTAAGCCCGCCAAGCGTAGGCAAGGCTAAGCCTGTGTCAGACCGTGACGGGCTCCCCCACTCAATCCATTGTCGTCCTCGACAATGGCTCTTCTTGTGAATGGGCGTCTGTGTCCCACACCATCCACTTTTGTGCCAGTTCTTGGGCTCGCCTGGCCAGACCGGGTCTCACTTATATTGGTGTCCATTTATGGGGACGGAACCATTTCACCATGTCGGCCTGCCTGGACTTCACCCCCTATGTTGAGGTTACTCAAACCGCGCAATGGCTATGCCGTTGAAATGTGTGAGAAGGGCCCTCGAAGAAATTGGATGTGTGCTTCGCGGAAGTCCACCCCATGTATCTCTTTACCTCAAGGCTCGACTGTTTTCGTGGTAGCTTTTCGGTGTGCTACCGAACACGATGTGATGTGTCTACTCCTGCTGTTGGCGTGTGTCCTGGGTGTACCCTTTCACCATGCTGGCCTGCAGACTTCACCTCGTTGTGTTTGGGTTATTCAAACCTTGCCATGTCTTATGCTCTTTTGGTCCTCGAAACTACACTTCACCTCGCTGGTTCGGGCTACATCTTTGCTTCGAGGGGGCCCCAATGTGTGATGCCTCGAGGAGATCTGACTGCAATGAACGCGGGTGTGGCAACTTTTACCCATGATGTTGCTGAACATGCACTCGCCTTGTAATGTGTGATTGCTGGTGCAAGTGTTCCACCTTGTTGATGAGCCCACGGTTCGGTTAATCAAACCATGAGCACCCCTATATGTGGATGTATGAATTTTCTATTTTCTAGCATCCCATGGAGAATATGAATATCTGAACTTTTCATCAATTTAACACTTAGCCTCTCTATTTCTCTTAATCCCTTCCTTTGGCCCTAAGGGCATTTAATGTAACAGGTTGATCAATACCCATTTTACCCTTATGTTTATCAATTAAGATGGGGATCTACTAAAATACTCTAAAAACATTTAATTTTTAACTAAAAAAATTCCTTGAGTCAAATTAAAAAGTAAAGTAACTTAATTTAAAAGATTTCCTAACAAATACTAAGGGAAATTTTGAACTTCAAAGTCTCTATTATGGAGGCAATAATATTTTTTATTGATGATGAATTGAGACAATGATGGAAGGGAGGTAACTGCAGGATTTTTCAAAACTACAGGAGAGGTTTTGCTAAAATGAAACTTTAGGGGAGGTTTTTATTATTGTCAGAAACCATAGGGGAGGTTTTTTATATTCTACCTTTTTTTATAATTTAGGGTAATTGAGTGAGTCTATTAATCTGTCATGAGTATATTTTGACATGTATTAAGAACTACCAAACCTAGAAAGCAAGTTGGACAGCTTATATTTGGATGCAACCCGGGTGGATGTATTTGCAGGTTAATGGGTTGCATCTGGTGTGATGTGTGTTATGTTAAACTTGATCTTATATTGATCATAATGCATCTTGATTTGGATCTAGAAAGGCCTAAAATGTTATGAATCAAACCTGGGTTTAGCTAGATTTGACTTATTATGTGTGGGCACATAAAATTGTGGACAAGTCATCATTATTTATGTGCCAGTTCTTAAATTTTAGGTTGAAAGCCCAAGTTAGCAACTGGCCTAAGAACAAATTAAGTAGGCCTTGGCTAAGTTCCTGGGTATAGAGTTAATTAGAAAGAAAACTAGATAAAATGGATAGGTTTTAGTAATCACCTTAAATAAAACCAGGGAGGAGAATCCTCATCTCCAGCTAAATAGGGCTCATGTGTTTAAGGTGGTTGGCTGAAATTTTTTCTGAAGTCTTAGATAATCTTTCACTTTGTAAGTTAATGAAGATTCTTACCAGGCTTCACTATCAAATTGTATCCTTTTTTAGCACATGAGAGATGTTTAGAAGCCTTCAAATTCTCTACAAGAGGTCTTTAATGTGCAACTCACACAAGATCTGCCATGGCAAGGCTTGGGATTCCTCAATACACTTGGCATTTGCATAGATCTACAAACTTGTTTGAGAAGTGCTCCAATAGTTCTGTGATTACAAAACTTCTAGATTGATCAGAGATCAAGCTCTTAAAGCCCTTGGGTTGAATCTAAAAGGAATAGAATTGGATGATTTCCAATTATAAAGAGAGAATTTAAAAGTTGTGTCCTGTTATTACAAAAGCTGATGTCATAATTTTCTTTTCCTTTAAATTTTTACCTGATTTTCCCTCCGAATGGGGGTTAAGCAGTTCAACTGGTCAGGTTGGACAGGTCAWCCCATGACACATTCAGAGTATATAATTATGTTTTACATTATATATATTATTTTATATTGTTTTAGGGGTAATTTATTTTTATTTATTTTTAAATGTTTTATGAGTTTTTAATAACGGAATTATATATATATATTATTTTAAGTTTTAATTCTTTTTATGAATTAAAATGATAAACACGGGGATTTGATGTCACAAAAGTAGTTTTCTGGCAAAATTATTGGGCCAAGGCGCCATTGTCTGCTTGCATTGCATAGATAGCAACAAGTTACCTAAAAACTTACCCTTATCTGACCATCGAGCACAAAGATATGACCTCCCAAAATTTGCATATATATATATATATATAGGTTTACTATTTTTTTAATAACACCTATATATAATTATATATTAATAATATTTCAATACATAATTTTATGGATGCCTTCACATACGTAGATGTAGGTGTTATGATCAAAAACTTACACTTAGAATTAAAAAGAACATATTATAATTTGTAAATTGTGACCTGCTTATTAGTCAAGAGAATTGACAGTTCAACAACTCACGTCAGTGGATTGTTGATCAAGTCAATCCATTTTAAAGTTGGGGGGGGGTATGAGTTTAACCCGACCATAATCATGACCTGGTGGCAGGTTTAACTGTTTGACTGACTGGGTTAATGACATGTTGAAAACACTACTTTTAACCATGTTGCTTAGTTGCATAGCTTTATCTATTGAAGCTGCATTTTAGCTATTTGATTGCATTCTCTTGGAGTAACTTGTTTATCCCTCCCTTATTGACAAGGGTGTGAGAACCCCTGCCCACTTATGGCCATTGCTTTGAGGGAATGCCTTGGCATATTTTTTTGCAATTTTTGACTACATTAGGGTAAAGTTGTGGCATTGCTTTTGAGGAACATCTTAGCAATTTCATAACAGTGTTTGAAAAGGTGTAGGTGGCGTACACTTGGAGGTGTGCCCCTAGGCGAGGCACCTCCAAAACACCTTGAAGCATATGCCAGAGGCGTCAATGCCTCTGAGGTGTACACCATATGCCTTTTGCATGAGGCATGCTAGAGGTGTATGCCTCATGCAGTTCATACAAAATGGTAAAAAAGAACGAAGGAAAGGAAAAGAAAAGGGAAGGGAAGAAGAGAAAGAATGGAAAGAAAAAAGAGAGAAAGAAAAGGGAAGGAAAGAGTAGGGAAAATACAGTTTGGGCCGGGGGCCACCCCCAGACCTTTTTTATTGCAGTCCAATTTGGTTTTTTGTGCTAAGGTTGTTTTGTTCTGCTCTGTAATATAATACATCTTTCATAAAAAACAAGATGAATCCGCCTCATGCCTCCAAGTAGTGGAATGCCTCACATCAAACCATGTTTTAAAACATTGGTTCAAAACATGGGTTATCAACGGGTTCCAAAAGTCTGATAGTTGATCTGATTTTAATCGAAGTACAATTATTTTATAATATATACATATATTGGTTTAATATATAATTTTTATTTCGTATTTATATTTACTTGTTATATATAAGTTAAAAATTAATTAATTTTTTAAATTTATTTATTTATTTTAAAAGGGTGAAATGCTGAAACCTCTCCTGAAGTTTCGTAATTGCAATCACCTCCCCTGAACTTTCTGACACAATTGCAAGTAGACCCCATTTGTTAAAATCTTTTAACAAGAGGCATGGAATTGTCCAAAATACCCTGAAGTTGGTTTCTACAGTAAAAACAATACAAAATTATGATACAAAAAGAGTTTAAAGTTGCAGTTTTACCTTTGAGTGGTTGATATGAAGAGCAAATTTTGAAGATAAATCAATTTTGGAAAAAAGGAGTTTAGAAGGGCTTGGTGCAGCAATTGTATGAAGAAAAGAAATTGGAAAATAAGCATTTTGTCCAAAAGTAAAACTGCATGGGTATTTTTGAAATTTTTATGCCTCTTGTTAGAAGATTGTAACGGAGGGGGGTCTACTTGCAACTGTTTCAAAAAGTTTAGGAGAGGTGATTGCAATTACCAAACTTCAGGGGAGGTTTAAGCAATGGTCAAAAACTTCAGGGTAGGTTTTAGCAATTTATCATTTTTAAAAATATGATATGGAGTCAAATTATCTGATCCAAGATTCCCAAATCGGTTTGTGTTACATCTGATCCAAGGTTTTAGCAAATTTTGCTTTATTCACATTTGGTGAACAAGGGCTGATCATCTGAATAAAGTTATCTTGGTAATATGAGCTATGCACCTAGTGAAGTTATCTTGGCAGAAAATGAACCGCCCCTTTCACTATTGACAAGAGGGCAAAAATAACTATACTGCATCATAAAACTGAGTTTATTAATATCAAGGGAACCAAGCATTACAGGTGCATCGAGAAGTGAGCTGTGTGACCTCTTCTAAACAGCAGAATAAAGAAACTGGGAAAGCAAATCACAACTAAAGAAATAAATCACAAATGTGCCTAGTAACTGCCCCCTATTTACCCCTTGCTTGGCTAAGTAATCAGATATGGAATTAGCTGATCTCTCCACCATTGTAATATTAAAATAATGTCTCTTTGTTAATCACTTGATCGTCCCACCCATTGTTACTATTGTAGAAGCAATAATCAATTTTCTGTTTTCATCTTGCAGGTTCTCCAGCAAATGCGTTAAACGAACACTTATCGTTACTTGGATGCCACAGCTTGTGAACATGCAATGAAGATTTAACTGCTGCCATGATGTTCCTCAAGTGTTTGGGCTCGCTGCCATTGTGTACGGACAGGTGAGGATGGGGCATTACACTAATATTGAGTCATTTAGATGATTAGAGAGCAAGAACATGGTTGGTTTGATGACTCCACTTGTTTGGGGTGTATGCTTTGTTGTAAATAAATGGTTGGTTTCTTATGTCCTCAATGCCCTATTTAATTTGTTTTCATATAGACAACTTGTCATGAATTCACCTACCCTCGAGAGATTTTTTTTTTTTCCTTTATCTTGTTTTCCCTTGTGCATTGCTGGTTGATGTTAGGAATTTCAGTCCCTTGGCACTTTGGCAGAATTGGAGGGTATATTATATAAAGCCAGGCATAACTCGGATTGGGTCATCCTCTTTAAACTAAGCTGCAATCTGGTACCTAGCTGTTTTAGACTATACATTGGCCTCACATTCCACCAAATTTGCACGTAGGTGTAGACAAGGTCAAAACTCAAATATTGCAATCAAGGTTTAAAATATTGATATGCCCGATATGTCGGTAGGAGTGTATCGGGCAATATCGGTATTTTTTTTAACTTTTTTTTTTAAACTGGTTCAGGGGTGCCGATTTAAGGCTCCACCCCTAAATCGGTCAGAACCCTGATACATTCTCTGTAATGTTGTATCGGGGAGCTCCTGAATATGGGCTAATTCGTATTGATACTTTGAATCTTGATTGCAATGGATGATGTTTCAGTGGATACGACTGTCAAGCAATCATGTCTAATGCAAAATTGAGCAAGCTTATGGGCTGCTCTGTTACGGACTTGAGATGTATGATTTAACACAATCAAAACTGTGACCAGAGAGATCGACAGTCAAGAATAGTATTATGGATCCGCCAGGTGGTTTCAGATCAGAAGAGATGGATCACTGATTTCGCATCACTCGCACAAGATCCATCGATAGGTTCATAGCCAATTTTTGTTCTTCCAAGATAGTTAGAGGCCTAGAGCTTCAAATTCAGCAGCAGAATCACATATTGCCTTTTGTATTCGACCCACCAAAAAATTCCTAGCATCATCCCGGATGATAATTCCAATAGCAGCCATTGTGCCAGTCCAAGCTCCATAAGTCCATGGACTTATGGGCTGATGTCTTAGTCCATGGACTACTATTATTAATCTGCACTCTTTTCTGTAAGGAGGAAATCAAGGCTGCCTTGGTTTTTTCTAGGTCTTGTAAATGTGCATGAATGGAGGATAACACGTCGATGGGAGAAAGCTATATTTTCAATCACCACTTCTCATCTTCCAAATAAACCACATCACGGCTGCTAATAGGCAGGTCCTTCCTATACTCAGTATTAACTTTCAGCCATTCTTCTAACCAGTAGGAAAGGCCATGACCGCTTTCTGGTTCCAATCTTAATACCCATGGGGCAACCAAACCAGATTGGTGTCAAGGTCTTGCTTTGAAAGAAAAGATGATCAATGGTTTCCAAATGATTATCATCACAAAGTCTACAAAAAGGTTTAATGAACTTCGATCTTTTCGGTAGTTCTGCATTAATTGGTAGAGCACGATGTTTGCATCGCCAGATAAACATTTAGCATCTTATACGTGGTGTGAGCAAGTTCATCTTCCAGAAGGACTTCCAACTAAGATCATTGCAAACCCAACCTGCCATCAAATTTTCAGCACCATCTTGTGTCAGCATTTTGTGTCCCGAATTATAAGAGAAATTTCCATTTGGGGTAGCCTTCCATACTAGTCTGTTTTCATTAGAGAAGCAATTAGTGGGTAACTTCACTTCACTAATAGCTTTAACAGTAACACTATCAAACAGACGATGCAACAGAGAAACATTCCGTCAGCATTGTGGTCAATGAGCATAACTGTCTTCATACAACCCATGTCCTAGTGGGGTGGTTTCCCTCATGGATTATCAAAAATAGGGGTGAGCAAATGGGTAAGTTATACCCGGAGCCCAATGGAACCAACCCTACCCAATCTGTTATAGGGTAGGGTTTGGTTCCAAATTCTTGGAATCGACCCCCACCTAGGTTAGTTCCAAGCAAGGTTTAAAGTATTGATACAGGCTGATATGTTGGTAATCGGTACTTTCTTTTTAGGTTTTACTTATTTTTTTTTGAAACCTGTTTAGAGGGGTCGGTTTATGGCCTGGTTACCCTCTGAACTAGTGGCTGACCTGATACAACCCTTGGAGGGGTGTATCGGGAATCCATCGGCACGAAACATATTGGCCGATACATATCAATACTTTGAACCTTGGTTCTAGAGTCTAGGGGTTTTACCCTACCCAAACCGATCTGATGAACCGACCTTGGTGGAAGTGGAACCAGTCTTGGAACCGAACTTACTTTGAAATAACCCCAAAATATTTTTAAGGATGTAATGACTCGAAGCCAAGCACTCATGGTTACAAAAGCTATGGTCACACTTTACAATTGAGTTACTTAAATAGTGATTTAACCATTTGTTTTTATTTTAATATTTCAATGTGTATAATAAATAATATAAAAGAGAATCCTTACAAAATTTAAATTAATGACAAATTTTAAACCATATATTAATATATTATGATAATTTATATATTAAATGACTCAATTTAATCAATAAATGTAATATAAGCTTATATATTATCATTATTGAAAAATTAAGATTTTAAAGGACATGTTTCATTTTTTTTTTGTGGGGGGAGTACAGAAAGAACAGGTTCCATGAATAGACCCTAGAACAGACCTTCATAGGATCGGTTCCAGGTTCTTCCATGGAACCGAGCTGAACCGAAATGACCCATACTCACCCCTAATAAAAAAGCCAGGGGTCATCAAAGATATGAACTCTTCATCCATTCCCAATTAACCATTTTCATTCCTTTAATAGATCTGATCTACAGCTCAACAAGCATTGCCATAGTGGTGAATCACTAGTCTTGCTTTTATACCGCCAAAATGAGCTAGCCCTTTTCAAATATTTTCTCTGTAATAAAGAGACCTTGATGGCATTTACCGCTTTTAAGAATCTGCAGGCAACTTTCATTATCAGAGCTCTATTCGTCAACAGTGGCTTTCTTAGCCCTAAACCACCACTCTCCGAGGGCCGTAAGAAATTAAGAGTCCATAGATTGGTTTCCTCTCCTGGGTTCTCCCCCACGAAACGTCCCTACAAATAGCTTCTAATTCCTTATAAGTTGACATTGCTAATGCAGATGCAGCCATGTGATATAATGGGATGGCCACTAGAGTTGATTTAATTAAGGTCAACCTTCCCGCATGAGAAAGTCTTGATTTCCATCCCTTTAACTTAGATCTCACCTTCTCAACTATGAAATTCCATGATGAAATCTGCTTGGATGCCCTTATCAGTGGACTACCCAAATACATTTCATATTAGATGATCTCTTTCACACCCAGTGTTTCCATTATGGCCTCTTTGATAGTTTGATCCATACGCTTAACCATTGTACATCAACTAAGTCTGCTATACCAAAGATTAGAATATCATCTACCAGTCGGTTTAATCGAAGAATTGGTCTCAGTTTTATGAAACTGTTTAGGTCACTATAAAATTGAAATTTTAAAACACATGGTAAAACTTGAACCCATAAATTCTATTTATATGTGTTGCTCAATTACGATTAATCCATTTCTTTATTTGTATTATTGTTTTAAAATTAAGGAATATGTCATATATGTCATGTCATCACCGTTCAATCTCTGGTTTGACCTTGGTTGGATCTTCAACCGATGAACTTTTCCCTTTTTGGGTTCTATGTTCAGTCTGGTTCTTTGAACAATGGTTAATACTTATATATAGTAGGTAGCCTTACACTATTTTTATAATTATAGAAGGTTAATACTTATATGCATAGTTAATTTTAAGATTTTAAAATGTTGTTGAGTGAAGTGGTAGGACCAGCCAATCCAAAAACTGGCATGTCCTCGGGTCTATTTAAGGGCCAGCCTACTATTTTATTGAAAACCATTGATTTGGTCACAAAGCCGCTGACCCGGATGGTTCAATTAGAAAACCATTTGGCCTAGGCAGTAGTTTATGAGTTTCTTTTAAGAAAATTGAAAAATGAAATTTGTGCCCCAAAACTCTTTAGTGTAAAGTGGGCTGTGCCCTGTTGGCACGACACAATTTTATGGGTCGCCCGTGCCTTAGTGGGCTGTGTTGTGTCGGCATGCAGGCCTAAGTAGGTCATGCCTGCCTGGCCCGGGACCCTTTAAAGGTTAGGCCCAGCATGGCTCGCAGCATAATCCCAAGCGGGTTTGTGTTGGGTTGGGTCGAGTTGCAGGCCTGTGCCGGAATGGGCTGCAGGTCGAGCCAGTCCTTTATTTTTTGTTTATTGTTATTATTTTTTTTATTTTTTTGCCAAGTATTGTCTAAAGATGATACTAACTTTAGAAAAAATAAAACTTTAACAAAAAAATGCTTTAACAAAATACAAAATAGACACCAAATTGGAAAGAAAATTTAGAAATTTTATTTCATTTGAATCTAATGAATACAAATGTATAAAAAAAGTCAATTAAAAAATACAAATGGAATATTGGAATTGGAATAAAATATAAAAACAATACAATAAAATTTAAAATAAAAATTTACAATGGTGTTGAAAAACTAACAAAATTGTAACAACTTTTACATAAAGTTGAAAGACAAAATTTACAACAATTTAAAAAATTCTATACAATTATTGAGTATATTAAAAAAAAAATTGACTGCATTATTTTCTTCAAATTCCACCTCCATCTCCTTGACCTTAATCTACCTCATCTGCTTTTAATGAGGCATCAGGAGTGTCATGTCCTCCATGGTTTTGTAGTGTATCTTTAGCATTCAGCCAATCATTCAAGCATATATACATCTCTAGGCTTTTGTCATTCATGCAACTTCTTTTGTTGTCCAATATCTTAGTACTTGCATTAAAACAAGACTCTCATGAAACTGTGGATAATAGAGGGGGATCACATGCCATGGTGTTAAGAATTGGATAATCTTTTTCATGTTCATTCTACTATGCTAAAATATCAAATTATTTAATTGGGAAAATTCCCGAATAGTACCCTGTACTTTGGGCCAAGTGCCACTTTGGTCCTCGAGCTTTAAAATACAACAATTTTGTACCCAAACTTTCAAAACATGACAACCTAGTACCTGCCTTTAACTAGCTGTTAACCGGCCATTAAGTGGCATTTGAAAAAGACACAAATGCCCTTCAAGTGTTATTTAATTTTCTTTATCAACCATCTAAACATTGACAAAATATTAA